ATATATATATATATATATATATATATATATATATATATATATATATACACACATCTGTTGAACCGCAGCAGCTCATATGGGAGCTCTGTAATTCATTTTGGTGCTGAACCACCAGTTGGGTGCGGTTAGAGATGAGACGATATGGACGGAGACATAAAGAAAGACAGAAAGACTAGATGATGAGGAGGAAAAATGAGGAGTGAGAGATATAATAAAAGGGTTGGTGATGGGACAGAGGAGAGGACACTCCAATTCCAATTAGCTGAGGGCTTTTGGCCTGTTATGAAAGCAATATCCTGTGACACCTTTCACGAAGATGACACATTTTAACAAACTTAATTATTCATTTCAGCAACCTTTCTTAGCTTAACCCTCTGAACCCTAAAACCTGCTGGCGGGATTGAAAAGCATGTTTTAAACGAAACAGCCAGAAGTTTTAAAAACCGTCTCTCGCCCAGAATAAAACTTTAGCTTTAAACAGATCCTGTAAAAAACATAAAATTCTGCGCTCCTCAAGGCAAGGCAAGTTTATTTGTATAGCACATTTCAACAACAAGGCAATTCAAAGTGCTTCACATAAAACCATTAAAAGCATCAAAACATAAGGCAAAAGAAAAGGAGATTTAAAAACAATTAAGAAAATTAATTGAAACATTAAAAACAGTCATAAAAACACTAAAAAGCAGTGTAAGAAATAAAATACAGTAGTAAAATGTAGAAATGCAGAAAATTGATAAATATCCTTGAATCTGGTTCAATTAAAGGCAGCAGCAAACAGAAAAGTGTTGAAGCTTCAATCTCAGCGCATTTCCACTTCTATGCAGATGACACAGCGCTTTGTAATGGAGTCAATACTCATGTCAATATTACTGCTGGAATTTGCTTGACCCTGGTGAGTGAATCCACTAATCACAGCGATTTCCTTAAACTGAACTGAACCATAAAGTCTGAATCTAATCTGAAGCTGGATATCAACCAGTGATTTTCATCTACTTACAATGAGATGATTATATGTTTGAGAAAATATCAGTATGACAGTAGTTTGTTGAAAATCATGAATTTTAATATTTTATCATATAAAATATATCCTGTGAATATATCCTGGATTTCATTTATATTTCTGAGGATTTATCACTCTTCCCACATTGACTGCAAACAGCGAGAACGAGGCTGGTGCACAAACAAACAAATACGCATGTGTCGGTAAAGCACAGCTAGATTAGAGCCTTTCAGCAGCCCACACATGTTAGTGGAGGCCAGTGGGCAGTGAGGCAGTAGTGAGATGGTCTATATTTGTTGATGCTGCTGCTCTGCACTACCAGTATTAACAGGCTTCTCTCTGACATTTAGGGGCTCAGCGGGGCTGCTGCTGCTGGTGTAGTATCTGCAGACAGACAGGCCAAACTATGGTGGGTTTATTAAGGATCACAGCTGGGAGTACGCGGTAGAACATACAGCTTAGCCCCTTTGACCAGAGCAACATGGTTCATTTCTTCATTTAAAGTTACAGCTTAGAGGGTCAGTTCAACCAAATTACAAAAAAAGAAGGAAAAAAAAGTGTTCACATTTTCCCTTTGTCGTATTGAGCCGTTTCTGGAGTTTAATTTGTAACGCTTGAAATATTTTAAGATCACACTGTAAACTCTTTCCAGTTAGATAATCCATAGAGCACATTGCTTTCATTGGGGACAATGACTTTAGGATAAAATAGTCACAATCAAACTGCAAATTGGCACTTTAGGATTAAGACAAATTGAGACATTAAAGGGTAACTTTGGCACTTTTCAACCTGGACAACAATTTATGAAATTGTTCCAGTATTGAACAAGAGCGCTGTCTATAAACGGGCTGTAATGCGATCGCTCGGGGAAACTCCTCACTGTCACCGTACGTCGACTTAATTGTTTATCAAAAGTGACGACAACATTATGGAAAGGACCCTACAGAGAAATAATAACCACGAGAGTTCACTGAGCATGCAGAGCCTGAGGAGGACAGTAGTGAAACATGGAAACCTGTTACCCTAAATACTCTGGTTGGGGAGAAAATGTGCTTAACCAGCTGGTAAATGTTTACTTTTCCCAACGTGGGACACCGAAGTTTAAAAATCCCTCTGGATAAATACACAGCACTACATGCTGTAAAAAAACAACACAAGTATACTGACCCTCATCAATAAAAAGACATGAGCTCTAATGTCATGAAATCAATCTTCAATGCAATTTTCCCAGTTTACAGACACTAAGTTTACTAACGATTAGTCTGTCTCCAATATTTTAAATAATTTTATTGAATTTTTTAGTCGTTCATAAAACAAAAAGGTCAAATATTCACATAGTTTCAGCTTCTGTGATGTGAAGATTTGCTTTTTTTCTATATAATTTTAAATTTAGTATCTATGGATGTTGGACAGTTGGTCAGAGGAAACAAAACAAACTGTCATTTTTCACAACATTTTGACATTTTATCAACTACGATTCATTCTGATTATAGTCACATTAAAATAACCAATTGCTAAAGAAGACAACCATTCACTGCAGCTGTTAACTTTATATGATTTTATGCTGGGTTTCATGTTTGCCATTGGTCCTGATTTAAAGTATCACACACTATGGTGTGTGTGTGTGTGTGTGTGTGTGTGTGTGTGTGTGTGTGTGTGTGTGTGTGTGTTCATTTCGAAGGAAGACGGACACAGAAATACAAAAAAACAAAACATCCAAGTTTGAATAACATTTACTCTCTATTTCCAGTATGGAACCTTCATGTCTCAACTTACTTTTGTACTGAGGACACAAATAAAAAAAATGAAATATTGAAGTTTAAATCACTGTTTTTAAAACAAATGTAATTAATTACATAATAATTAATGTTTTGAGAAGAAATACGGTAACATTTTTGCTATGCTTGTTTTTTACTGAGGTTTATTCCTATTCTATCTATTCTGCTTATTGGAGAGGGGGGGGGGATAACGGTCCACTGTGGCGACAGTATATCAGTATGAGTATGTCAGAGAGGAGGGGGGGCATCTGTAACAACATCTGTAACACAAACACTCACCCAGACTCCTCAGAGGATCAATGGCCTTTGATTCGGACGTCCCGGCTCCGTTCTTCACCGCCGGGGCCGCTTTCTTTCTGTTGCCCAACATACCGCAAGGAAGCTGCGCTTGATTTCGCTCTGCCTCCCTCTCCCTTCCTTCCTCAGCCTTTTCTCCCCCTGTTGGTCCGGGGTCCTGCGTTGTTCCTCGGGCTGCGAGATAAGCGGTCTAGCGGTTCAGCTGCACGGAGACCCCGCAGGAGGAAGACACGAGAACCTCCACGTCGGTCTGCGCGCTGCACCTCATGCTTTTATCCTGGAGGAGTCTGGCCAAACCTTTCACCCTGCTGATGTCACTGAGATGAATTTATAGACATAGAGCTGTATAAACCACAAGACAAGGGCTTCCTGAGGGGGACTTTCAAAATAAGAGCCGTCGAGGTCTCGTAAGAGTTTCGATGTCTGGTGCCTTATTTAAAGACTCAATCAACAGATTTACACGCAGCTTTGAAGTAGCTTAGTTAAAAAAGAAATCTCACTTTATTTCCATTCTTTGGATTCGATACATTTTCTGTTGTGTCAATCATATTAAAGCAGGTCATTATCACCAATGTAGCAATTTGTTATGCTTTTGTTTTGACGCCAAAACCCTCAGCACTTCCGGGTTTCGTATTGTGTGTCTGTGGTAATTGACGGAATTCTAAACTGATTATAGACCGAGGAGAGACGCTCAATGTGTCCAAGGTGAAATAGCCTTCCTCTTCTCGGTCCGCTGGTCTCTCATTTGATCCACATCACTAGTATGATTGATGATAACTGGAAACAGCTGATCCTCTCACTCTGTCCGCTGTAATTGGGGCGATGGTTGCCGCGGAATGATTTATGCACAAATTGGCCCGTGTGAGCAGTAAATACGCGGACTGCAGACGCTCTTTAATGAATGGATGTCTCCAGTTGAACTGCAGGTCCAGCTTCTGTGCTGCTATCGGAGCCATTTATTAAATTGCACTGGCATTGTTACAGATTATAGCTTTTAAACAGTGATAACGACAATTCCAATACTAGCTCGAGGTACTTGCGAATTTACATTGTATACAACTGTATCAGAGGCAGATATTGAACTTTTTACACTGTTACATTTGTCAGACATCGTACAAATACTTTTCAAATAGCAATTGTTAGTTGGTACCTTCCTGTCCAGTGAAATCCACGTATCTTTAAATTTGGTAATTCAGAAATTTCGGACGAAGTGTTCTTTTGCAGGTTGAAAAAAATCTCCCAATTCTTAAAATAAATAAACTATTAGAAACACACTGGATTATCTCAGAAATGCATCGCCACAAAATGTTCAAAGACACGGGGCTTCTCACAGGACAGCGACGCTACAAAGTGATTTTATTTAATATGATGCGTTGCTGTAGATTAAACTACCCAACAGTATAGTAAGTAGTTAGAATTACCACAACCATAATCTGCAGCAGTAAAATGCCACATGCACATCAATGCAGCAGTAATATTAATCCAAAAACATCGCATAACGACTACTAGCAGTGGATTTTCAGTGTGGTATTGCTGGTGTCACTTTAAATGTACAAGTGGGCGTGGTCAAACGTGGGTCACATGATTTGACACGGAACTCGTCGCTGTACGTTACAGTGGCTGGAGATGGTTGGTTTTCGTCATGCAACGTTTACCGTCAAAGGAAGTAAACCCAAACACAGCCGAGGCCACCATTCACTCAGAAGCTGTGTCTCAATTCAGGGGCTGCATCGTTCGGAGGACCCAGCCTTCGCGGTCTACGTGGGCCGCGTCCTTTGAGGACCGCAAAGGCTAGACCGTGCCGTCTCCGAAATGAGACGGCCTACCCTACAGAGGACTTCCTGTTTGCGTCAACAGCTGTTCCCGCCCCGCCCCCCTCTTGCTGCTCCCGTCCCTAAAATCCCTGCTCAACAGGATTATATATATAATATATATATTATACACACTATATATATATATATATATATATATATATTAGTATATATATAATCCCTGCTCAGCAGGATTATAAATATATATACATATAAATACATTAAACTAAAACCTATTCAGTATATATACTGGAAAGGTTTTAGTTTAGTGTTTTAATCAGTTTTGTATCATATATTCAATAATTAGTTCATAGATCTTTTTCAAAATATTGTTTTTCCATATTAATAATCAGTTAATTAAATCAGTTACTAATAACTAATTTTCAATCAGTTATAGTTCTTGTAATTAAATTAATTTATCAATAACTTTATTTCATTTCAATCAAGACAGTTAACATTAACAGCAGCAAAACAAATGTCAGCAAACGTGTTTATTAACTTGCAGTAACACATGTGCATATACTTTATATTTTATAATAAGTTGCCCCCCCCACAGGCACATTTTCTCCAAAATTGTCCAAATCACATTGAGAAAATGATGAAAAGAGAAACATTTATCAATAATGTTCACACAGGGATGCAAACTTAGAAGATTGACACATTTTACACAGCAGAATATACACAAATTCACATAGAAATCATTTACATGTATGTCTTATGTCAATTTAAATAAATAAAATAAAAAGGTGACATCACAACTGTCATCTCTGTGATGGCAACATGAACACATGAGAAGGATCTACTGGTTGTCTAATTAGTGAAAGCTTTGTACAGGATGAGAGCTAATGTAACTGTAACCTTAAGTACAGGATGGTCAAATGGATATATTACAAATGGACTAATGTCTTAATTCAAATCTACGGTTGCTGAATGTTTGTCCATCGTTCTCCCCTCAGCTATATACTCAAATGCTCAAATGCAGTGAATTCGTGTACTTAATCTCAATGTTTGAAACGTTACCGGGTTTAAAGTGATATTTCAGGTTCACAACCTGTCTACCTGAGCTCACGTTGGTCCGTTTATGTACATGATATGAAGTATAATTCATCTGTAAAATCATCACAAACTCAGTAAGATATTATTCAACCTCTGAGGTTTGAAAGTGAAGTTATTAAAAGTTACTTTACAAGGCTTACTACGGTCGGATGCAGGCGGCCGAGCTGCCAGTAATAGCGCACCGGCACGCAATGCATCTTGGGATATGGTGGGCCGCGAAGGATACATCAGATGTGTCCTCCAAATCTGGGACCAGAAGGCTGCATTGAAGGACTCTTCAACATAAATGCGAAATGGGACAGCACTACTTGAAGCGCTGTGATGCAACCGGTCTACGAATGCAGCCTCCGAAGGATGCAGCCCCTGAATTGAGACACAGCTACAGTCTCTCTGATACAGACCAACTACAAGTTTGCCAGTGACAGGGCACACAGCAACTGACGTAAGAGAAGTTAACAAGCTAACTAACGCTGCTGTGGCTAAGCTACACCGGCCGGGGTCCGTACCTCAGTCAGCTATAACTAAGTTAGCTGAGTAACTAGAGTTAAGTTAGCTGAGCAAGCTAACTTAGCTATAGTCAACTCCCATTTGTTGCACTTGGTATTCTTCTTTAGTCTTATCCAACCAATCCTGAATTTAAGTAACGTTAATACTGTTGTTTCTCGGCATACGCGTGCACCAGAATATCACGTGTATGATAACGTTATGTGCATGTTTAAATTCAGACATGCGTTACATAAATTCACCAAACGGTGCTCGGTGTTGCATTCTGGCGTATGTCAAAAATGTGTGTCGTGTAAGCTAACTGTCAATGTTGGTGTTTGATTCCACTCTCCTAACGGACGTTTCCGGTTGCGTGTGTGTGTGTGTGCGTGTGCGTGTGCTCTCTCGGCTCCAGTAGCACTCGTCCCTTCCGTTAGATTAAACGAGTTAGTGTCATGCCAGTCCTGGCGATGGCAGAGCCCGTGGTTGATCACCAGAGACGGTTTCAGGCCGCTGTGGACGTCATCCAATACCTCCCCAAAAATGGTATGTAGCCTTTTACAACCATCAACATTATTTCACATACCGTGTGTTTGTTGTGACTACACTGTAGCAATGACTCATTAATCTTTACTATTGTGGGGTTTACCTACACTATTCTGTGCTGTACAGAGAGTGAGAGGGTAAAACCAAACGTCATCTAATACAAACAGGAGGCTTAATGTAAGACTTATAAGAACTATGCATTATCTCCTGTATAACTGGTCACATCATACTATTATTATTACATGCATGTCATGGCGCCTCATGATTTGTTACTGTGTACTGATGCCAATAAGAAGGCCACACTAAACATTAGTCTTTTTCAATGGAGTCTGGTGTTCAACACATTTCATTGCAACAACTACTCTGAAGTTTACAAAATGTTAATTGCATTTGTTGATTTATATCGTCAGCTATATTGCTTTTAATATGTGAGCAAGAAACATTAACTGTGAAATGTCTGAGTACAGCTTGAAGTCCCCTCTGACCTAACCTTCTGTAATTCTAGACTGCTCTCCTTTACGCTTTCCCTTTGTCCCGCTAAATGGAGCAATAAGCAGACAAAGCTCATAATGGTCTGTTACCCTGCAGGTTCCTACCGACCGTCCTACGAGGTCATGCTGCGTTTCTACAGTCTGTACAAACAGGCCATGTGTGGACCTTGTTCAGTGCCTCGACCCAGCTTCTGGGACCCAGTGGGTCGCTACAAATGGTATGTCTGTGTGTGTGTGTGTGTGTGTGTGTGTGTGTGTGTGTGTGTGTTTGTTTGTGCGCAAGGCTTGTGTGTCATTGTCATCAAGAGTCAGCTTGTTTTTCATAACGCCATGCAGTTCATACTCTACATCGTATTTCCGTTTCAAATCTTTTTAATTTTATTTTTCAATATTAATTTGGCCAGTGGCCATGATGACACATCTGTTGCGTGGAGTTTGGTGTGAGGTTCTCTGTGGGTTGGGTAGTTTGTCTTGTTAGGTATACGTCTCCACACCTCGTCTCCTTCTAGTTCTCTATCAGGAGAAGCAGCAGAGAGGTTGTGTTGCACGTTACGTCGATGGAGAGAGGATCAGTGTCTTGCTTAAGGAGATCTTGACCGGACACATGGCTTAACTCTGAGGCTAACGTGGGGTCAGTTGAACTTGATGGTCGCTAACACATCCTGTCAGTTCACTTCACTTCTAACAGATTAAGAAGGTGTGAGCAAATCCTTAAAGGGACAGTTCTAGGTTTTGAAGTGTGGTTGCATGAGGTACTTTGATCCAATCCCAAAGTCCCCCGAAAGCCTTGAACCCTGAACTCTCTGGGACTTATCTGAAGTCACCTGTTAAATGTTTGAGTGTGAGAGGCTACAAAGGCTTGAAATCGTGTGAATACGAATGGGACAGTACTTTGCTGCGACATATAAAACATCATGTTGTGTACAGTCGTGGGTATTTCTTTTATATTTTTTTATTTTGAACCTGAACGTCTTCCACGCTCTTTCCTCATGAGATGAGTTATTCGTCAAATAATCGATTAGTTTCACTTTCAGGTAGGATATGGCTGTCTGACAGCTAGAAAAATGTGACGGTACTCTCAGTACTGCCTGTTATATGCGAGTAGTCCTGTCGCTGTGTACTGGCATGCGTTTTTAAAATAACGGCATTAAAAGGAATAATAACTTAATGTAATTACATTCTTTTTATCTGGCTCTGCTCTATTGACAGGTGTTCTTCTATTTTTCTCTGGTTTAGTGGATTTAGAGCTCGTCATGGTTAAACGTTGTGTAATGGTGACACTCGTTACCCAGAGATGTTGTAACGAGACACACATGAGGTAGTTTGAAATCCTGGATATATCCTTCAAACGCACATTGTAAAGCTTTTTGTCTGAAGGTTAGATAATATTTCTTTCTGACGTTAGTGACAGTGTGGGCTCTGTGGTAGCGCTGACAGCTTGATGGAGTAGCACCAGGGGGTGGGGCTTAGCAAAGGGTCAATTGACACTGAAGAATGAAACTGCTAAGCAAATCTTGAAATACATTAATTAAGAATTCCCACAGCATAGCACAGGAGTACAAAAGACTTTGTGGTCAGAAGTACTGTAATTTATGGGATGACGTGTAACAGCCAACTGTTTGTTGACCGGTGGTTCCTGTGAACGTGTCAGGGACGCCTGGAGATGCCTGGGAGAGATGAGCAGTGAGAGTGCCATGGCAGCATACGTGGACGAGATGAAGAAAGTGGCACAGGAGGTACAGGACGCACCCGTTTCAATACAACACCATGAGTTCATGTAAAGACTGCATAATAAACCTCCCTCTACACCTTGATGTGAGGCATGAAGACAGCAGATGAACACAGCGACGTGTAATTAGACTCTAGTGATGAATAGCGTTTCCTCTGACTGCAGGTGGTCGACGCCATGCCCATGAACGAGAAAACGGCCTCGCTCTTCCAGCACTTCGAGCCGCTCTACCTGGTGATCGATGACATGCCGCGGCCTCCAGAGTCTCTGCTCGCACTCGAAGGTCAGTGACCCTGAACCTAAAATAACAAAAGTCTGTTTGTATACATACTGTTTACATTACACCCTGCAAGCACTTTTGGACAAATGTTAAAGTAGTGCTAAGATGTTACAGGGACTGTGATGAATGCAATCTACAGTTCTGATAGCAGGTTTTATGTTATATTATAGTTTCTATGTACAATTGCATATCTACAGTCTCTCAATATATTGAATGGTAAGCGTTGTTAAGCGCAGGACACAAACAGACCTGTGGTCCATGTGGACTGTTCATCATGGTTTTCACATTGTCATCCTGTAGGTGGTAAAGGCAGTGAGCGGGCTGACAGGGCAGCAGAGGAGGGGGAGGAGCAGGGTGGGGCTGATCCAGATCAGGAGCTGAACCCGTCTGAGGTCATAGACCTCACTGGCAACACCATTCCTAATGGTACGTAATGGATGGAGCGCGACTCAACCCCCCCACCCTTAGTCTACTCTCTGGTCTCAGTGAAACACCTCAATCTTCTTCTACGCCCTCTTTAAGTAGCGAGCAAAACTGCACCACAGCCAACATCTGGTAAGGGTCACAATGTTGTCTGACAAAATCATCATAAATATAGGTTAATAACAATCTATATGCAGATATCTGGAGGCAACGTGACAAGATTTTGGTTTCTGTTAGAAGTGAGAGACGGCGAACAGTCGACTGACTGGACAGCTACTCTGTCCTACCTGCCTCTGCTCTGTGTGATCTATATCTATATTGGGTTCATAACAATAGGTTTCACTTTTAAGCCTAGTTTAAGTTTAAAGGGCTACTGTGGCTCTAAGACCTGGTTCAGAGAGGAACTGAAAATAAGTCTGTTTAAATCCTCGTGATCCCACCAAAGAAAAGAGGAATCTTCAAGTTTCGTGTGAAACTGCTCACTACAACGTCTGGATTATCTTGAGTGACCGGATCACCATTTCTGGAAAGAGACATTTCTGTGTTGAGTTTTTTAAATGTATGTTTTGGTGCTTTGAGCACCACAAGCCGAGTAAAATCTAGTCCCATTATATTAGAGAGAGGGCAGACGTCTCTACAGCATCTGGATAGATAAATAGCACTACAGGTTAAAGGAGGGATTTGTATTCTATTTTATTTTGGGGGAGAACTGTCCCTTTTATTTTGTTAGCTTAAACATGATTTATTAAGAAAACAACCTGTCTCGAATAATGAACCAAGCTTTGTCCAACTCAAAAACAAACTTCCAACAAAAAACAGATCAATGTCCTTCTTTCAAAATGCTAAAATATAAACCAGGAAAAATGAATGCAAAAGAAAAGAAAAAACTCCAAAAAGGGAATGGAACTCACTGGGTGTCGGGTTGGGTAAAATACTAATCGGCCTCCTGTATACAAAATGCTTCTGCTCCGGCAGACACTGGTGTGTGTGAGGGTTTGGTGTTGACCAGTGACTCAGAGAGCGAGATCTTCTGCGACTCCGTGGATTCGGTTGAGCAACTCGGCAACGTCAAGGTATGACTTGCATCCCCCAACACACAGACCAGACCAAGTACAGTCAACTGCCCCGTGAGCAGGAACACGACATTTAAAATATCTATTCAACCATTTCAAAGACTGTCTTTCAATCGCAGATTCCTTTCATCAAGACCAACGGTTTCCACAACGGCCACCCGTCCCTGGAGCCGGCTCCCATTCAGAGCCACCAGCTGGAGGGCGGTGTGGGGGTGCGGCAGGTCGGGGCAGGTGAAGGTGGAGAGGGGGCAGAGGATGGAAAGGGTCCCGGTCCCAACAGGAGGGGTCGAGACACCGGGCGGGAAGGTTCCCACCACAACTGGAGAGAACGTAAGCTGCTCCAACACGGGAAAGGTCAATAATGGATAACTCTAAGGCAGCCTTGTTAAGCTAGTTCTGGTTGTTGAGTTTAAAGGGACAGTTAACTCCAAAATCAGAAAGACATATCTTTTCCTCTTGCCAGAAGTGCTGCTCTTCAGTCTAGATTGTTTCGGTGCTAGTCGCCTAGCTTTGGAGATTCATACATGAAATGGCTCGCAACGAGGTGTGTGGACGACCTTCAGTAACCGGGTCATGGTCTCTTAATGGACGTTGCTGTAGAGTTTTTTTTTGGAGCTTTGAGCACCGCAAGCTGAGTACAATATAGTCCCATTATATTAGAGAGACTTCTCTACGGCTGATATCGCCAACACTATCTAGATAAATGGTACTACAGGTGAGGTAGGAAACATATTTGTTTGGGATTTTTTTGATTTTGGGGTGAACTGTCCCTTTTAATGGGATTGGCTGGAACTTTAAAAAGGGGCATTGAATGGAATTTCCAATATGAAATAAAAATGAAATCATACATAACTATTATTTACATGGTTATTTATATTATAATAACCTTTTCTTTTATTCATTATTGATCACAACAATGTTTGCAACCTTTTCCACTTTTAGCATTACAGCAGGGCCTCACTCTGTTGTTACTGAGACTGTATGTACCGTTGTGTCTGTAGGTGGTGTTCCTCAGGGCAGTCCGAGGTGGGGGGGCCCTGGTGGTGGCGGTGGCGGAGGGGCCGGCCGAGGAGGAGGGGATGGTTCAGAGGGCGGGGTCGAGAGGCTCCACGACACCCAGCTCCAGCAGCAGATCATCCTGGCCCTACGGAGGCTCAGAGAGGACATGAGGAGCGTGATGGACCGGCTGGAGGTGGTGGAGCGGCTCGCCGCCACACACGTAAGCACCAACAGCATCATTGTTCTCTGTCCACGGCAAGCAGCTGATGTCAATGCAGATGGTCAATCTCTACTTCTGCTGCATTAAAATGTCGTCATAGAAGTTCAGAATGCTCACGTGAACAAATTTGTCTTTAAGTTTCAAATGTAAAAAAATGTATTAAAACCATATTGTGGAAACAGTGCATGTGCTGGGGACTATTTTCAGCAGCGGATTGAGACACATTATAGTGCAGAGTTTCTCAAATGAGGGTAGTAGTACCTAGGGGTAATTTGGAGTACCTTTGGACCCGAGAGACCCCCACCGGGGTCTTTTTAGAAAAGTGTAGCATTCAGCGTGTCGTAGAAAGCATTTTTCATAAAGAAATATAATTATTGCTCCAGACATATTGTATATCGAATATTGAATTAACGGAAAAAGTCCGAGCAACATCATCATACCAGCCATTGTAAACACTGCAAACACAATTATACATGAACTAATATCATATCTGGAAGATATCTAGAAGATTTGCCACAATTTTGGCCAAAAATCGACGAACTATGCTCTCTGTATGGCTCTCTCATCACGAAGCAGGGATCGCACATGTAGCAGGGTCATGATTCGACCCGGGGACGATCATTGTCGTCGAAATTACTCTTTCAAACCGTTCAAAAGTTCTGGGTATATATGCCAACATCACCCACAGGTCACGAGAAAAAAAATTGGGTAAAAAAAACAACTTACGTTTTGATGGTTTCGGTGATGAAAATCCAGCGGATTTTGGTACAGCTGCTTGCTGTAGATCCCGCTGCATGTCTGTGAGTGAGATCAGTCCGCTTGGAGAATGAATAACAAAATGGCAGACGATTCTGTGAGGTGGACCAATCCATGTAGAGAGGGGGGTTCGCCCAGCATTTCGCGATTTTTAGTCAGTAAACAGACACGGAGATTCTCAAACACCCCCGCATGGCTCCCGTTGGACTATCCTGCATCTAAAAAGGTCTCACATGAGTAAATCGGCCAATCACAGGCCTTACCAGGGTCACATAGACACACATTATGAGCCATTTATTGTTATGAATGACAGATATGACACATCATAACTGCTCAAAATGGTGTCAAACTGCTTTATTAGGATTATTGAACACTCTTAGTGATAAGAAAAGTGAATATATAGTTAATATTTAGTTATATAGTATATAAAATTAGTATACAGCAATGCAACTGCTGGTTCCAAAAATCAAAATTTTGCTTGACTCAGACCATTTATGCTGGCCTGCTTCACTCAATCGAAGTAAAATATGTTGTGGAGACATGTAAAACGTGTTGTGCTATGTCTGTGGCATATTTTTAAGCCTACATCTGCATTATTTAAAAAAAAAAAAAAGTGTTCAATACAAGTACTTTTTTTTTTTTAGGCGAACCTGAAACTTTTTCAATTTGAGCTGTGCCATAAGTGTTTGTTATTAACCAGTAACATATACACAATATTTACACAATTCAACACATCTCACAAGTGTTACCTGTATTCTAGCATCAAAATTATTAAAATAGACCTTGTAGTTAGAGCTGGGGACTCTCTTGAGTATGGGTATGCAATTTTCGAGCAGAGGCCAAAAAATAGGGCTAGGGTTCAACAGGTTTTAAAAGGATATGTGAGATTTGTTTATTAAATATATATTAGTCATGCATAGTTCCTGTTTTGTAGTTCATAGAGAAACCACTTTTATTTTTAATATACCTATTTTCTTTTACTGCAATTGTTAATTGCAGTAAACTGTCAACTACTGCAACAAACACCTTTTTCTTTTTCTACTTAAGTAGTTTCACGTATTTCAAAGTAAAATCTAGAAATATCCAGACTTTACTCTCTAAGCTGCTGTTTATGTGCGACAGGCCCAGACTTCAGAGTGGAGGCCGTGTCTACAGTGTGCAGCCGCAGCCTCGAAGCAGCAGGTTAGTGTCGGCTAGATATCCTGGAAAGTAGTTTCCGTTGCTGGAGTTGTTTCCGGTACCGGTATCACAAATGAGTGTTGTGATTAACGAGGCGTTTGTCTTTCCCCTCAGGAGGAGAGGTGGTGGCTGTTTGACGTGTCGGGTCAGACCGTCGTCCTCTTCCTGCTGTGGCCGTTTGTCGCTCAGGGTCTGGTCTCCCTGCTGAGGAAAGTCCAGCGGAGAAGCCGCACGTCTTCATGAGCCGGCGGAGACGTCCGGCCGCTCGCCTACACAGGGATCCACCGGTGCAAGACGTCTAGTTTTATTTGGCAGCGAAGCATCAAATCAAATAGGAATTGACGGGGAGGCCTGGTCCTCCCTCACACGGGTGCTGAAATGAAGGGACTAGCTGTCTGCTCGGAGAAGAGACGCACACCTCCGAATCCAGAGACCCTCTCTCACTACAGCACATAACTCTGTTTAAATTATTCTAGTGGAATCGGCAGGAAGCAGAGCATAACCTCGTCTCTACCGAACCTGGAGAAGTGCAAATACTGATCATGAGCCTAAATTATTGGTTATTATTTAATCTGAGCGAGACACCATCAATGTACTTATGGATTTGCCATAAGATCTGTGTCTTTTGTAATATACTGAATATTATTATTGTCCACAGTATCTGCTTTCAGATGGAAGAAGAAGTCAGCGTACAGGTGGGGTTGCCTCATCATTTCATGGGAATCTTTCAATCTGATTCTTGACCTCAGATTGTTTGGTCAGTGTCTCTTTTACGTAGTACACTGAAAGGATCAATGTATTTGAGGCTACGATGGGAGAACTTGTTTTCAAAAGCTGCCCTGTGACAGTCATGTATAATACGAATGCATGAGCTCAAATTAATAAATATATTGAATAGAAGGTTGTGGTGTGTCAAGTCTTAGTGGCAAATACTGAGAATGTAAACACAAGGCCTCTAGTTTAACAGTGACGGTGTAGAGATGCACTGATATCAGGCCGATACCGACTCTAATTGATTTATTCAAGTCTGTTTCTATCTACTGTAATTATGATTCCTGTATGACAGTACAATGTGACATGCTTATCTATATTATGAATTTAATGTGAGTAAAGTCACACATATATCACTGATAACAGATAAATATAAGATGCTTGTATATTATAGGACGATCATAAGTGGACTAGTGAGTGAGCTACTTTTTACGGTCCAGGATGGCTGAGTGTGTTTAAACATCCAGAGATCCTCTGGATGTGACGTGAAGTCTCTTTACTGATATTCTGTGATGAATCCTATTTTGTTCTGGATCAAAATGTAAGATAAATAGGAATAATGTACATTATATAACGCATCTGCTGCCCTTATGTGATGTATTTGACATAATCGGTTTCACATTCCACCTTAAGGCCTTGTTATTTATTGAATGCACACAGAATGAGACAAATAAGCCTAATGAGATGAGATACTTAAAAGGGTGATGTAATATATTTGTGTCTCCGCTATAATTGTTTCACTGTGGAGGTAAATTCACTTAACCACATTACAATCCAAAAAATAAAACACAACCCTGCTTCAAAAACAAATAATTTAATATATTATGTATAATAATTATATACACAGGTTAACTTAACAAGGCTTTGTACAACTGTTACAAAAATTGGTCCACGCACAGCCACCCACTTACAGAGTACATGCACAGGGGCACAGATAAAGGACAGACATGGAGTGTGGTTGGATGATGGCGGCTGGCAGTACAGTTTGATTCAGCTCCGGTTTCATTTCTTGAGTCTAGACTCAACGGGAGAGAAAAATACTGAAAAAATATCAATCGGGTAAGACTCTGGTTTTGTATTTAAGGAGGTTATTCACTCACTTTCACTGCTCCCGTGACGATACTCCTAACACTGATATAATGTATAAAGTAGAGCCTCTCTTAGGTTCTCTCTTGGCTCTAATGTTGTACACAAATGACCCAAATAGAAGAAAACGGAACATTTTGGCATGACTTCGGATAGCTGCCTTAAACACGTCCTCCGATGAAACAGGCCCCCCTCCCCCGACATACAGAAACACGATATGCTTGTGTTGAACACTTAGAGTTTGCATATTTTAATGTCACTGAACCCATGCACACAATATATATATTTATATATATTTTTAAGTCCATGGAAGCTTTGGCATGACGCCCAAAGTCCCATCACCCAGAGACAGAGAGTGGTGGAGTTCCCTGTAGATCCACAGGAGGCTTTGGAAGAGCTCGTAAAGGGCTGAGACGTAAACTGAGGAGAAGTTTCCTCTGAACTGGTGCTGTGGTATTTGCCCACGCGGGTTACGTCAAAGACAACAACAGTCGGTTTCCAATGAAAGACACGTGGCAGATGACGGGAGTCTTTGCTGGTGTGAGGGTTCGTTGTAACAGCAGCTCGGCTCTGGAGTTGAATTTTAAATGTCTGATATGGCTTTCTCTCAATTTTTTGAATTTACAGTTGATGGGTTTCATTCCAAAAGATGATTTTAGAAATGAACAGTAAAGGCATTTTAAAAAGGTCCTTACTTGTGGCACCACCTAGTGGTTGTAATAAGAACAGCACTGTGAAACATGGCAACACGTCTCACCGAGATTGTTTCATTTTCTTTACATCAGAATCCATTGAAAGTGAACTGTTGTTCGTTAGAGAGGTAGGTTTCCTTGTCATTACTTCCCCGGGAACATATCAAGCTGGATTCTAGCTCTAGTATATGAAGCCAAATTTGAAAAGATGTCAGCGTGTTGTCTTGGTCGTTTTAAGATTGGATTGCTTGGATTGGTTCTACAACACTTAGTTAAGATGATCTTCTGCCTTCAGAGACGTATTTCTCTTTTCTAATATTGAGGTCTGCGTGTTGGATCGCATCGTTTTCACTCACAGATTTTGGTTTTTACCTTGTTCACGTAATCTAAAAAGAATAGTTTGCCACACAGCTGAATACACATAGTTATCATTCAAAGACATTGGGTGTGAAAGGGTCTCCAGTTACAGTGCTGTGAAGGCTCGGTCACACCAGCTTTTAAAACGGAAAGATTTTGCTGCAAAATCAATTGATTGGAATGGAATCGTCGTGATCAGGGAATTGGCCTAAAATCCTCGAAACAGCGCTGACCAACAGCAAACTGTGCTGACCTTTGAGAAATGGAGAGCTGGAGAAGCTACTGTAGTTATTCGATGTGTTCTTCTATTCCAGCTCTTCTACGGGAGTAAAGTGTTCCACACACTGTGTGAATTTATTGTCCTTTTAGCGACCAAGCTAACACGCCACTAGCGTGTCTTCGGCTGGTTATATAAGACGTGTGTGAGTGTATGTGAACATACAAGCTAAGGGGAATCTCTCCTGAGAAAAGTCATCAGATTTTGGTGAGAATTTGCCTCAAATACCAGGATCTTAATTTGCTGTGTCAGCCCTAATGTCCTTTTGAAAACATACAACAACATGGATAATTACATCTACAGTTATTCTGTCAGTAAAGGGTTAAAGATGAGTAGCTTTCAAAGTAGTTGAATGGTAGAATTTGTATGTTAAGTAATGAGTTTCACATTTTTCATTTTGGAATGAAACTCTGCAGCTGCGCACAAAGAAGTACTTCAGCGTGAGATCAGGTCTCCAACTTCAGAGGCAATAAAAAGCCCTGAGGGAAGAGTCTCCACAACGCAGATCCCCATGGCAACATGACGGACACTTCAGAAGCAGTGACACGGGGATCCAGTGTTTGTGAGTAAAGGGCTAGTACTTTGTACTGTGTTAGTAGATGAAACACTCCGATTAAACGACCACAGTGTGACGACGCCATGCCCTCTTCTTGTCCCGTGGGTCCAGGGCCGTTCTCCTCAGGACCACAGCGTGAGATCCTGGGGAGGAGGAGGAGGAGAGAGGGCGAGACTCCTGGGCAGGATGAGGGGGGGGGTCTATTTGTTGAACTGACCCAGGACCTACAGTCGATCCCTGAGTGACCCCAACACGTCCATGCTGACCCGGTGTTCCTTCAATGGCTCTGATCACCTCCAGCCTCTCTGCTCTCCATCCTTTGACTCGTTCCTCGCTCCTGCCCAGCTCAAGCTCCAGATTCATGGAAATAGCCCTTGTCCTCCCGCCTCTTGTCTTCCTGTAGCGGACCGGCACCGACTGGTTCCAGTCCGGCTGCTGGGTCCCGTAAAAGCTGGAAGCCTGGAAGAGGTTGGGGAGCCTGGTGGGGCAGATCCAGAAGGGGACTGTGGGGTGTCCTCTGGCCGGAGCGTGAGGCCTCAAGTGGGAAGGAGGATCAGACATGGTTGGGGGTCTTGGGTATGTGGCGCTCTGATGGTGCGAGCAGAGGAAACTGTTTGGACGAGGTTGCGTTGCCGTTCTTCTCCTGCTCTCTTCACATTTGTTGGCCGTTCTGTTCCCCTCTTCCTCTCCAGACAACGAATCTTGTCCCTCAGCGACCACTCTAGCTGTCCCCCCAGTCTCCTTTTCATCCCTTTTGTCTTTTTTCGGAATGGTTTGTTCTCCCTTGACCGCCTCTTTCTCTCCTCTGTTCCCCTCCTCTTCCTCCTCCCCTCCCCCGCCTTCTCCTCCCCCGTAGTTGCTGGTTTTGACCGGCTCGTGCTCGGAGTCCTCGTCGGCGCTGCCGTCCTGCAGGTGGGTACTGAGGCATTTTTTACGTTTGCGGGTCACAGCGGAAATGATGGACTTGGGCAGGAAGTCCCTGGCACTCAGGTCCTTCTTGGAGAGCGAAGAAAGCTGAAAAGGTTCAACATTCCAGTCACATAATGGTCACTTCTTACTTCATATTCCAGAATCTGTGACCCTATTCACATACTTAAAGGACAAGTGAGTGGTTTGTTGCTTACCTTTGATTTAAGTGAATCGCTGGTGGTGGAATCTGTGAGGAAAAGGAAAGATTTGGATTAGAACCGCGTCAGCACTAGACGAGTGGTGCTACAGTGTTAGGAGTGTGACAATCACAGCACACACTAGCAGCACTGCAAGCTGTGAGGAGAACTCTCGCCATTATCGGAGGATCTGCCTGCTGTTACTGTAAATGGCTAGAGTTCCCCTGTAACATCAGCGGTAGGGGTGTGCCGCAGTGCGCAGGAGTCACGGTTTGGTTTATGAGTCATGGTCCGGTGGGAGTTTGGTAACGGGGGAAAAGAACGATGATACGTTTCTTTTCATTGATACTGAACAGACGTGTTTCCATTCACATATTTACTATGCACATTCTGAAGGTATGGCCCACTTCAGGTGGTTTTGGTCTTTGACGAGAGTTGATGAGTTTGATGGATTATTAAAGCGCCTATGATGTAGCGAACATTTACCTCACATGACTGATCAGCTGTTCCTAGTTATATATTTACGTATGTTGTCTTCGTCTCCAGATGAAACATGGCCACTACTAGCTGACATGAAAGAACAATTCAAACTCGCTCAATTGAAACAACTTCCTGAACACCTCTCTCCATTTTTCTATTGCAGACGCTTAGAAGGCAACTTATTTTGTTGGGTTAGGGTTAGCAACCTCTACTTCTTCTTCTACTCCTATTACTGGTGGAATACAGCCATGTGTAGCCTACAGCGATAACGTCTGACCAAACCAAGCTGTAGCCAAGTTTATTCACTCCAAACCAGTTGATGGAAACTTGCCCAATTCACTTTTCTTTTTTTCCCCGACATTTACAATTGAACGGAAACATGGCTACTGACTACGGACTGAGGGAGTGATTTGCCCACTTGCAACATTTAGTAAACTATTTTCAATGTCCAAATAAGGAGCATTTCAAACATGTTTTGTATTACACTGTATGAACAAATAGTTTCCCAAAAGGCTATAAAACTAAAAAAGCATATCTTATGGCAGGAAATTGAGTCCCGGTGATCAGCACATGTGGGGGATCGTTAGACTATTCAATGTGTTTGCGATTCACGTCCCCGAAAACAGTGGAGCCATGCAGACGCACCATGTTGACAGCTGACAGCTAAAAGTTTCCGGGGTGGAATTTGAACGTGCAAACTTTGATTCTGTTCTGCACACGCAAACCGTTACAGCCCTATCGGCAAAACAGGAGGATGATGGTACACTGGTGGGAGACCAAGGCTGACGGAAAAGTCAAAATGAATGGAATTGAAGTGCAATAGAAACAACCAAACACAAAACACAGAAGGAGGAAGACCTGGTCCTACCGAAGAGGCTGATCCACTGTCTCAGCTAGGGAGAGAGAGAGAGCAGAAAGGTCCGGAGAAAGAGAAGGAAGAGAAGGACAGAGCTGAGTCTCGCTTCATAAGACCACCGGCAGCATTAGTAGTACACAATGTAGAGGGCAGGTTCGATACGCAAGCAATTCAACATTAAGGGTGTGATTCAGCCATACTCATGAAAAGCTCTTCACTTTGAACTGTATTACAGATTTAGTGAGGATATAGACTTCACACGTTTCCTCAGATTGGATATATTTGTGTAGGCTCCTCTGGTTCTCTTGCAGCCCTATGTAGAAGGTCTATGGGTGCTTCTCACCTGTTTGTGATGTATGAGAAGACCTAGAGTGGTATTAACACGTTGGCTCTTTCAACGATTATACTATACTAAACTATAATAAAGGCCTTTTAATATGTGCGTCCTTGGATTGCCTTTCTGATTGTCCCGTATTAAAGACGGTCCCCCGTGTTCCTTTGGGGTGAATGCAAACCATCAGGATTCTGGTTTCTGTAGTCGGCTCAATCTGAACTACAGCGGCCCTACAGGAAACAGAAGACCCAGATAGGAAGGCTTGTGCATTCTTGTAGGTACCTAGCTTGGATTAGTAGACATCAAACAGAGAGTTTCTTGGATAATTGAACAGCACCTCGACCAACGTGGAAACATTTATGGTAGAAATAAGGAAGCCTGTATAGAGAGGTACGACACAGTGTCGTAACATCGGTGTCTGATTTACTTGAAACTGAAAAAACACTGAAACGCTACATTGTTTAGTTGGCTCAGTTTTCATAGTCTTTCTCTGTGTTTTCTTGCTGCTGCGTTTCAACCACGAATCCATTTTCGTCTATCGTTCAATAATGAATAATGAAGATTTGGCAAATTTTTCATGGCCGCAACCCACATCCTCAGCTCTGCTGCTCATCCCACAAATGCGTGTTCCTTACAAATGTGGCACCATTTAAAAGGGAAATAAACAGGCTTTCCACCGGTATAAGATTTATTGCCAAGAAGCATTGTTACAACAAAGAAATAATCTACCAAACACAAATGTCCTTACTTTTTGTGCTATGTTAGTATGATTATTTTAGGAATTAATAATTACTGTTTTTTTTATTAACATTTAAAAAAAACAATCTCTTAAGTAGTACTCCCATTTGAGAAACCCTGACCGAGGATAAAAGTGCCATTCTGTTCATTTTGCCAGTAGAAAACTTCATCAGAATTATGGAAAAACAGCAACTGCACAGGTAATAAGTTAATCAGATGGATGAGTTGGATCCTCTCATAGTGAACATGTATCCTTTTGACAATATCACAGATTAGACACTTCCTCACCTGACGCCTCTCCTGGCATGCCGGGCCTGCCGATGTTGGACAGCAGATGGTCGATGTTGGGAACAGGCTGCATGTCCCGCTTATCCTCTGGGGCCTGCACACACACACGCACACACACACACACATCCAGAAATACACAACCATACCCAAAATGAAAGTGCAAAGTAGAAATGAGGACACGTGAATACAAACAATCCCTCTGATGGGGACGTTCTCTGCTCTTTCGTCTGATGTACCTTCTCCTCTTCATCGAGCTCTCCGGTAGTGAAGAACCAGTCGTGCTGTTGAAGGAACACAATGCGGCGTCACTGATGTTGAGACAAAAACACATAACTGGTAAAGAACGGCGCAGCGGGTCTTACGTGCAGGATGAGCGTCTCCACTATCTTGTAGCGGTCGGGCATGTGGGTGACCATGTCAGTCATGTTGTCCTCTGACGTCCTCACCAGAGTGGGACCAAACACCAGGGCCAGGTTTCTCGGCTCCATCTGAAAAATTACATCAAAGCTACGCTCACATCCGGCTCCATGAATGACCTTGAAGACACAAAAACCTAACTTGCTAATCAGAGGTAGTGAGGTTACCTTATTCTGTTCACAGTGATCTGCCACCTTCTTCAGGTGACCCACCAGGAACTTCAGGGTGTGATAGTAGTGATCTGGGAGGTCATGGAGCTGGATGAAGAAGGACGGATGAATGGAGCAGAGAAGAAGGTGAAAAAGGTTGGACTCGTTAAACAGAGAAGAAGCGTATTCGTTGCTGGATGTTCTGCTGTCCTTTGACTCGTACCAGTTTCTTCATGGTCTTCAGTCTGTCCTCCGCGTCTTCTATCCGGTTGGCATCAATGAAGTCGATGTATTTGTCTGCAGACAGAGAAGAAGTTTCATTAACAAGCAACTGATAAATGGAAATATTTCAGCATTTGGTATGATATCCACATGCAAACGACAGGCAGCAGCATTTTTAAGAAATATTTGTATCCAGAACGGTGGAAAGTAATCCTGCTTCTATTTCATCCTTACTGACCGCCAGAGGCAGTGCTTAACACTGGATATCTTCCGTCTCGCGCATGCGCAGGTCGAATATTTATATCAACAAAGTCACATGTGACCTCGGATGACCCCCTTCGTCTATAAATTCCGGTGTCATCCTGAGTTCAGTCCTTTTTCAGCTTCTCGCTACGCAGGTCAGCTACCATGGTAGCATAAACAAAGATGTGTCTACGATCAAGACATATTAGAGCTTGTCGCTGTAGCCTTGTGACCACCGGTCGGAGTTGTGGTTTTCTCGCCCTCCAAAGGCTGCGACAAACTGTCCCTCTTCGGAGGAAGCGGTGTGTTCGCCGTTCGGACATCGAGCCCCGGTCTGATAAGGGCCACCTAAGTCGTGAAGACAGAAATCTGTGAGATCGATTAACATTGTTTTCTATAACCGTTGTTCGTTTTCCACGGTTGGCAGAGCGCTTCCGCTCTAGCTAATGGAGTTGCGTGCTAACGAGAGCATAGAATATACTCTGTCGGCCCGCCCTTCACAGTGAGCAGTGTCCTGCTCAGGCTAACTTGATGAGATGCAAGTTCGACTAGATCGACATTAGCATTATGTCCACTGGTTTTGTAACATTACGGCTAGCACAGTGTTCCCGCTCAGGCAAACTTGATGAAATGCTAGTTCGGCATTAGCATTATGTCCACTGATGTTGTAACATTTCGGCTATCACAGTTAGCAGTGTTTCTGCTCAGGCAAACTTGGTGAGAGACTAGCTCGACTAGATCGACATTGGCATTGTGTCCATTGAGATTTAATTTTTACATCTGACGTAATTCACAGTTAGCAGTGTCTTCACTCAGGCTAACTTGGTGAGATGCTAGCTAGACAAAGCTGATACTGGGACTGTGTCCATCAACTTCGTAACCTTACGGCTGTCACAGTTAACAGAGCGTCCCCGTTCAGGTTAACTCAGTGGGAAGCTAGCTAAACAAAGCTGATACTGGGACTGTGTCCATCAACTTTGTAGCATTACAACTATCACAGTTAGCCTGAGCGAGAACACTCTGCTAACTCGGTGGGACACTAACTAGGCTAAGTTAATACTGGGATTGTGTCCATTGATTTTGTAGCATTACGGCTATCACAGTTAGCTGAGTATCTTTGCTCAAGCTAACTGGTGGGACACCACTATTTACAGCGACGGTCCTAGTGAAGAGTGTCCTCGCTCCCCTCTCACTGTAAGGACTGTTTTTTGGTCTGTTTCCACAGTGGCAGAGTGCTCTCGCTCAGGCTAACTGGTCGGTCACCAATATCTGCAGCAAATATCCTAGTGAAGAGTGTCCTCACTCCCCTCTCACTGTAAGGACTGCTTTTTTGGCCTGTTTCCACAGTAGCAGAGTGCTCTCGCTCAGGCTAAGTGGTGGGACACCAATATCCGCAGCGAGTGTCCTAGTGAAGAGTGTCCGAAAAGATCACTCTCCTCTGACTGTCCCCTGCCTGTTCTCTCAACATTCAGCAGAGCGCTCCCGCTCAGACTGATTTGGAATTCCGCATCAACTAGTGGGACAAGGGTTCCTCCAGAATTGCAGCCATGTTAAACTCTCCCGGCTGTAGGACCTGTATAGCTCCTCTTCAGCCTGAGGACGGCCCTGACCTCTTGCCTCGAGCATCTGAGGGAGGGCCTCTCGGAGAACCCAGGCAGGACCTGCGGCATCACGCCTTGAGCAGTAAGGTCTGCTAGGCTGGCCGACGTGGAACACCTGATGCGTGAGGTCTACCTCCCCCTGTCAGGGCAGCTGAATCCAGCGTTCTACCCTGATCGTTTGCATGGCGCTGGCACGCCTGCAGTGGGATACACAGCAGCTGGAACTTCCACCTGTGAGTGCCTTCTTCAGGGCGCCTTCCCGCCCTCACCACCTTTTCTGTTCCTCCCTCCGAGGAATATCTAAGGAAGTTGCATGCATGCTGGAGAGACACCAGGGCTCTCTCCCGCCTTACATCAGATGGTCGAACTCTGACGACCATGCAGGAGGTGGCAAAATTTGGCCTTGCACGTATGCCAGCCATTTAGCCGACTATTGCATCCATCATAGTTTCCCCTGAGGAGACTGAGGCCCGATGCCAGGTGCCCTCGACCCAACGTCGGGTCAAAGATGACCTGCTTATGGCTTATGACACAGCAGCGCTGTGGACCGTATCGACAACTCCCTCTCCCACCTCATGCTTGCCCTCGCAGCTTCTCTGCAGCAGGCTACTTTCGACGCTTCCGCCTCCAGCCTCAGTGATGCTTCATGGCAGGCGTTTGCGCTCATGTCGAGGGAACTTGGACGTATGATGTCCACCCTGGTCCAGACTCGCCGCCAGGTTTGGCTGGCGCAGTCACCCCTGTCTGAGACATGTAGGAGGACCCTCCGTACTGTCCCAGTGGAACCTGGTGAGCTGTTCGAGTCAGCTGCTATACAGGCGCTTCAGCGAACTGTTGAAGCTAGCCAGACGAGGCAGCAGTTAACTGGTCTTTGCAGGGACATGCCTGCACCCCGCAGACCTAGGGGTCCCACTTTGGCCCCCCAAGGCCGTTTTTTCAGCCTCCAGCTTACCCTAGTAGCTGCCACAGGCCTCAGCGTCCCGCTGAGAGGCCGGACCGCTACCCAGACAACCCTGCCTACGTCCCCCCCCCAGACAACCTCCGAACTTGGGGACTAACAGTCCCCCCCCCCCAAAGCCTCCAGGCCGGCTGTCGGTTTTTTCTCCCAGCAGCAGATTTCCAAGGGAGAGTGGTTCACGTCTATCGACGTCTGTTCCCATGGTGCATCACCACAGGCAGTTTCTTCATTTCGCCTTTTAAGGCCGCCACTTTCAGTCCAGGGTGCTTCCATTCGGACTCTCCCATCTCCCCATGGGTGTTCACAAGGTGTTACTGCTGTCCTTTCCCCCTGCAATCACAGGGCGTGAACATACTGCCGTACTTAGACTGGCTGACCTGGGCGCCATCCCGGCTTCAGGCGCCACAGGACACGCTCGCCTTCTCTCACGTGGCCCGGTGGGGCCTCAAGGTGAACATGGAGAGGAGCTACCTGAGCCCTTCTCAGAGCATAACCTTCATTAGTTTGGCCCTATGAGGGCCTGTCTGTCACCCCAGCATGTGGACAACAACCCCCACAACCTCTCCCCCTTCTGAGGGGGCAGATGGTTGCCCTACATCCTTTTCTCCGACTATTGGGTAAACTGACAGCTGCCACAACTGTCGTTCCCTTGGGCTTGCAGATGGCTGAACAGCCTTCACTTGGATGCCAAGTGGCACAGATACAGGGCAATAATAGTATCAAAACAGTGCCTACTCACTCTATCCCCATGGAGGGAGAGTGCATATCTGGCAAACAGTGTCCCCATGGGCTCGGTTCCATTCCACTGGGAGATTGTCACAACAGATACCTGCCTCTCAAGGCGGGGTGCAGTGTGACAGGACAGCTTGGGGGCAGTTGTCTGCTCAAAGACCGCAGGGGCAGGTCAGGGTTCTAGAGCTAGCGCTCAAGCACTTCCTTCCATATTTGAAGGGAAAGCATGTGCTTGTCCGATTTGACAACACCTCTGCTGTGATTTCACATAAACTATCAATGGGGCACCAGATCTGCAGAAGTTGCTACGGGGATCACCGTGCCCTTCTGACTTGGGAGGCCCCTCGCCTGACCAGCCTGTGGGCAATGTACCCACCAGGAGAACGGAACCAGGTTGTGGTTTTCCTGTTCCGTCACAAGCCTCCACCATGAGAGTGGCGGCTGCATCCAGATGTGTCGACCCACTGCCCCCACTGGGTCTCCCTGACGGAGAGGACCAGTCCTCTGGGTCAAGATGCCCTGGCTCACACGTGGCCAGAGGATCTTCTTTATGCCTTTTCCACCATTCCCTCTGATTTTGCTAAACGCTTGTCAGAGTTCTTCCCCGACAGGAGGGATCTCCTGTCGCAACTAGAAGGTCGGATTTGGCATTCCAATCCCTGCCGCCCTCAACTAGGGGTCACGGGAGGGCCCGACCGGATGCTGAGTGGTGCATAGAACCAGTCAGACTGACTATTCTGAATGCCAGCGCGTGATCTACCTGCCTGCGGTACAAAAACAGGTGGAAGCTGTTCTCTGACTGGTGTGCGGCTCAGAACCTCTCCTCTCCCCATCGGGAGAGGAGAGGTCAAGGCTGCTGTGCCCAGTGCGGGCCCTCAGAGCTTATGTGCAAGCTACCGCTTGCATACGGCAGTCGGAGCAGCTCTTTGTCAGTGAAGGGTCACTCTACCAAGAGTGTCTCCACGTCAAGGGCAGCCCTGAGAGGTGTGCCTGTGGAGGATATATGTGCTGCGGCCTCGTGGGCATCACCGAGCACATTCACCAAACACTGCAGAGTTAACGTTGCCACCCCTCACCCACTGGGGAGGGTTCTTTGGCCAGTTTTCTCTGCCGGAGCTATACGAGGTAGTTACTGTGCTTCCTCGTGACTCTTTTGGTATAAGTCATCCAGTGTTAAGCACTGCCTCTGGCGGTCAGTAAGGATGAAATAGAACGAAACTTACGAATGTAACTACGGTTCTATGAATCCTGGATGACCGCCAGAGTTCTTGGTCACTCGGAATCTCGTGAACTCGCGAGAAGATTCCATAGGACTGAACTCAGGATGACACCGGAACTTATAGACGACGGGGGGTCATTCGAGGTCACATGTGACTTTGTTGATATAAATATTCGACCTGCGCATGCGCGAGACGGAAGATATCCAGTGTTAAGCACTGCCTCTGGCGGTCATCCAGGATTCATAGAACCGTAGTTACATTCGTAACTTTCGTTTTATATTCTAAGCTTCACAGGTTGGTTGTGATTCATGCTACGCTCCATAATGAACAATGACTGAACGCACCATCAGTGAACAGCGGCTCAGGCAGTTTTCGGAAGAAGGACTTGAGCAGGCTGCTGATTACGTTCAGGTCCTGCCATCTCTGTGGAGACAGGAAGAGTGAGAGTTCAGTATTTCGCGTGCAGAGTGAAAAGAATGACACATCTGATCTAACAAAATGATGTTTGGTACAAGACTCCTCTAAGCTACGACTCCAGCTAACGCGTTTATTGAACGCTGCAGGAATGCGCCCTAGAACCCGGAAAACGAGTCAGTGTTTTTGTGCTTCCGGTTCCCTCCTCTTGATAGATTTTAACGTTGTGTTCTACGGTATGAAATACATTAGATACTCCTCTCATGAATTTTGAAGCTTTTACCTGTCTAAATGAGACAACTAAACATGATCACTGGAGCACTAGTCCGCCTTTAGCTCAGCGGTGGTGACGTTAACAGTTTGTTAACAGCCTCACGTTCGCTTTTTACTTCAAAAATCATAAAAGTGGTGATCCTTTGTGAAGAACAAAATGTGTAATTATCCAGCTGTTTGCCACTGAGCCTATTTTCTGCAGAAAATCCAGAATCCGATGGAAAGATCCCCTCTGCTTTTTGTCGAGGGAACCAGTGCCATGCTGACTTCCGGTTTGGCCTACAAACATATGTCATCCCTGCAGCACTCGGTTTCGAAACAGGTTTAAAAAGCGCTGCGATAATAGTGGACCCGTTCTCCATGCATCCTGCACACCTCCTCAGCAGTGTTGATGTCCATGCCCTTGTTGAGATGCTCCTGCAGGTTGGACACCATGGCGTTGTTGCCCGGCACCCGGTAGATACCGGTGTAATCCAAACCCGTCTCCTCCACCACGCCACAGCACATCTCCACAATCAGAGGGACAAACTGAAGAGGGGGAGGCATAGGGAAGTAAATGAGGTGAAAGAGAAGAAATAAGAGTGGAGGGATGAAGCGACAAAAGGGTGTTTGGAATGAAACCAAAAAGTAATACTAGTATTCTAGGTTTCTACTAGAACATGTTCACATGCTTTAATGCCACTGCTGTCTCAAACGTTTCACTGTCATTCCTCTTTGTTCATATATCATTCATAGCCTATTTTATACAACATTATATACATAAACACATGGCTTTTTTATGGCTGGCTTAGAGTATTTTCTGATTTATGGAGTGATTCAAAGATATATCCAAAGAATTCCTTCTGTAAACACATTTGAGTCAAAGGTGTTTACAGAAGAAATTCAAAGGCTTTGACTCTAAGATGTCAACAAAATCAAACAAGAATCTTGAGCCTGGCTTTATCCAGTGTTCACATTTCTGTTGTGGAAATGTATGCAAATTAGATCATATTTGATACCTCATTTGTATATTTAAACAGCATTTCAGAAAACTTGTTATATAAAAAACAAAAAAGAATCTAAATGCAAGTAATCACTGGGGAAATTTCATGGTGAGATCTACTTATTATTATTTTTTTTAAACTCTTTTCACTTTTAGTCCCCCCCCTTTAATAAAGATAAAAAATATTAGCTTTACAGTCCTGCTTATTGTCAGCTTGGCAGTACTGATTCTGAAGAATCACTTCCCGACCACAGACTACAGAAACAAATCTCACAAGAGCCTCAATAATAAACTAATGAAAACAAGCCAATAAAGTAGATAAAGTCTGCAGGTTACTTTTGGGTTATCAGCACAAACTCTTGCAGCTATGGCACTTAGTGTGCTCTGATGAAAGGTAACCTAGTGGAAAGGTATTCTCTATTCACTCCGGCTTGGTTTAGGAACGCTCAAATTCACCCTCAACCACAATAGTTGACAGCAAAGTAGCCTCAAAACGGCCCTTTGGAGTTTCTGGCTGACAATATCTCCAGAAAAAAAATCATTCAAATGATGTTATATTTTACATTCCCTGTTTGAAAGAGAACAAGAGAGGATTTTTCTGAACCCTGCATATCTTCCAAGCATGTATGTTATGAGAGAAAATTAATAAAGAGTCCATTTTGACCTCCGTTCTACTTCTTCATCGTTTAATATTTATGAAATGTTAAAGTATCAGCTACGTGGTTAGCGATTTTGTCTACGAATGAGTTTAGACACTGAAGTAGAATTTGTGTAATGTTTATGTTATGAATCACGTTACTTTATGGTTGACAGCGGGCTGACAGTCCTCCAGCCGCATGCCAAAAGCCTTCGGACTGCCTGTCTTCTTGGCCTTCTTCATGATGTTGATGCCCCACAGCGCCTTGTTGTCATCTGGGCACACACACACACACACACCACATTTAAATTTGGTATTTATATCCACATGAAAAAATAACTTAATAAAATGACAGTGTATTATCACTAAGTGGCCAGATTTTCAACAAGAAAACATCTCCAGCCACACTTGCAGCTCTACAGGGCACCTCAATCAAACACAGGTGTTAGGAAATATTGGTTTTGCTCAAATAATTGATATATATTTTTTGCTGTTGCTAAAACACAATTTCTGAAACTAGGGCCCTCTTTGTCCCAAATCTCTTGCAATAGCAAACACTTCATTCAGAACAACAAAAAACTCTTTTAAAAATATTTTTTTTGCATCACAAATGTACACGCAAACACAACATGTCTATGAACACAAATGCAAAGGGTTTATTCTCAATGCTCGTCTACTCATATCAGTATCAGACACATTTACAGTCCTCTAACTCTCTCTCTGTGATCTAATTGGTCATTTTCACAGGTGTATTCTGGGTGCCGTCCTTAGAGCCGCACTGCTAGCATGGCTAAAGGGCTGTTAGCATTTTGTTGTATGTTGGTGAACGCAGACCGGAGTCGTGTTTGAACCCACCGGTTCTGGAGGCTCGGTTCACTGAGGTGTTGTCGGTCTTTGCCAGGAGGAAGGGAGGCATCATACGGTGGGCTCTGGGAGAGGAGTCCGGCTTACTACCTGTCAGACTGCACCCAGGGACAGAAATAAAGACAGTTAATAAGAGGGTCTTACAGGTCTGAATACCTCTTGACCTCAGTCTTATGTAAAAAATAAAAAAATGGATGCGCTTTTATTCTTGCTTTTTGAAAATTGCACTCAAAGTAATTGTTTCTGACAGGCTTCCAGCCCCGAGCTACAGTGACTCCTGATTACACAAAGGATAAGGGACAGTTGTGATCAAGCCTTTCTTGCTAAACAAAGCCGCGCTGACCTGTGTTTTCTGTAGTCATTCAGCTTCTTGTTGATGAGAGCTTGTCTTGAGAAGCCGATCTCCTAGAGCAAACGGAGGTGACAAATTAGTTTCGCATGTAGGTGTTTTGTGTGTAAATTCCACAAGATAAACTGGGTGTGAAGATCTAACCTCGTTGTCGGTCTTGCTGTTCTCCCTGATGACCCTGATCCAGGCCAGCATGTCGTCCCTGTCCTCGGCCTGCAGCAGGTACTCGCAGAAGTCCTGCGTGGTCAGCCTCAGTGTGTGCTTCCGCTTGGTTTCGCTGTAGGCGATGTCGATCAGGCAGCCGCGGATGCTGATGGGAGGGTGTTCGTCCTGGCCTGGCCCCGCCCCGTGAAGCACCGCCTCTCGCTTGTCCTTGTAGAGGAAGAGCGAATGCGAGCGGAGCACAGAGAAGACACGCTTCCACGGTCGCATGCCGCCACCCACTTTCTACAATTAGGAAATACAGAAACAACCTGAAAAAACACGACCTGAAATAGAAAAGCTCCCTTTGTAGCTGAGCAACCGTAGAACGGCCTGTTAACTTTGGATTTCTCCAGTGGCGGGCCGTCAGGGCCTGCAAGGCCTTCTCTGCTGGCCTAAACAGAATCACAAAGCTATATCTATTTTATAATTTAATAATTTTTCTTAAATACACTACATGTATTATAATATATAAAATTATTTTTCCCATTATCTTATTTTCTCATTGCACAGCTGCTGTCTTCCTCAGTTGCTCTGCTTCCAGTGCAGCTTGTTTTAAGTAGAGCTTTTATCCAATCAGATTTCACCTCTGTGTCTCTAGGTAAGAACAGAGACCCAGGCCTGCAGACGGAGGCCTGCATCCATTTGCAGTTTAAGTGAACGGGGACGATATTGTTGATTGTCATATTCTTCAACCAATCAGATCTTTAGTTTGACATGTTGGGCATATTCTTTGACGTATCAGAGCCTGCTCGCCGGCCTATAATGACGTCAGCATTAGTGCAGCTCAGTGTCTGCCGCGAGGTGCAGAGTGCGCTGTGAGTGGTCAGTGGGCGAGCACGTGACTATCGTGAAACGAAACAGCAGAGGCATGTCGGGTAGTGAATCACATCGCGTGATGCAGCTCAGCCAATCAAATATGGGCATTCTGACTGAGTGAGATGCACCATGACACAGGGGGCTGAGACGAGGAAAGACACTGCAGAGCAGTACATACAATGCTCAAGTTGTGAAAGTAAAATCATAAGACGATCTCTTTGGGCCGTGACTTGTCATTAAGGAATGATGGTGGGTCCCACAGCCAGACCAGCTGAGAACCACTGTCCTCCATGAGCGCAGAAAACATTATATTTTTCCTCAATATAAGCTTCTGCATTTTCCAGATGCTCTAGTACTATTCAAACGTATTGCAAGTCTCGTACCGAACGTTACGTACATTTAATACGTACATAGGTACGTACATTTAATACGTACATAGTTACAGCCTTAGAAACTGATAATATCTGTGGCGCCATCATGTGGTTATAAGGTGGTATTTCAGCTGCAGGACAACAGTGAAGGCCTAGGTATAAAATGCACGGCCTGCCACTGGATTTCTCCACATGCCAAAGAAGGGTGCATGGAGCGATACTGTGTACCAAAAACACTTTGCAAGGTGGTGTCTTTGTTTTCACCTTCCAAAACCAAAATAGAAGAGAAAGGGGCGGGGAATAGATTAAACTGTGTTTAGCTGCTGTAGCATAATCAGCTAACTTTAGCATGCCTGGCTACATGCTACAAGTTACACAGACTCACTAGCTACTTTATTTACATTGCATTGAGTACAAGTACTGAGGCAACTAAATGCAGTGAGCTAGCTGAATGAATGTCTGAAATGACTTGGCCAAACTCATTAGTTTGTTAATATCTTCAAAGTTTTTATGTTAGACAGAAATAACATTACATTTATTAAAATAATGTAACGTTAGACAGTGCAGACACTTGGCTGCTCACTATCCGCTCTGCTTTCATTCTTTTATGGATATTCTTGTTTTTTTCTACAGAAAATGATGGGTATCTCCTCCTGAATGGCTCATAAATCAGTGGGATTTAAAAGAAAAAGCATGTGAAGATTATAAGATAGCAGTGTTAATTTGATCGGCTCTCAGAGGTTCAGCAGTGAGTTCAAAGTTTGCGTATTCTTGCCCTGCTGTGAGTTAGTAGTTTCTTATACATTGCACTTTTAATGCTGAATTAACATATGGAAGTAGCCATCAAATGTATATTGAAAACCATTTTGCAGGGTTAAATCTGCCGGCCAAATTTCAGCTGACAAAATGGACAGCTGCTGACTAGAAGTGAGAAACCTGTTTTTACCTGAAGTCAGTGACTTTTGTTTAAAAAACTATTACAATTTCTAGTCCGCCACTGTTATAATTGTAAAAAGTGTTTAGTAGAATGGAAAGCTTGACAGGCGCAGTAACAGTAATGACGGGGGTGGAGTTTAGCTAAAGTGTGTACAGGCAGTGTCGTACCTTTCCCTTCTCGGTGAGGATCTGTTTGTAGTGCAGCCAGCCCTCCTTGCGAACATCACTAAAGGTGATGGTTCCCAGTTCAGAGGTGGAGTGGCGTTTGGACCGGGCCTCCTCCTGGGCTCGCAGGCTCTCCAGAGACTAAAGCACAATTTAGGGGTTTTATGGGTTGCACACCAGACAGTGTTCTTGTTTGCTGGAAAATTCATCAAGTGTAACGATCAACTTTGTTGAACACTCACCCCATCAGTGAAAAAGCTCTTGACCCTTTTTGGTAGTTTGCTGTGAAACGGAAAGCACACAAGTTACATAAACAGCACTTCTAGAGAGTCTAACAGGGTGAGTGTAGATTCATAGACTGATGACATGGGCTACCATGCAAGGTGCCACCTGCCTATCAGGACTATCTATAAAGACCCATTCAGTAAAGAATGCAGTGTGTCCTCTGAGTTCTTACGAGAAGACGCAGCCTTCTTCTCTGAAGGTGTTGAGACCCTCGTCACAGGACTTGGATCTCTCTGTGGTGATGGCCAGCAAGTAAGAGGAGCGGCGACTTTTAATACTGCCTGAAGAGAGAGAGGACAAGTCAGGAGGAAAGGAGGAGGAGACTAAGTGGTTAACAAAATATGCACTGTATGGTAGTGACATGTGAAATGACAAGAAGATGAGTGATTTCAGTGATTTGTTGTCTCAAACTGTGAGTATAACATGAGCCAAGTGAATGAATTAAGGGGTTAAATGTACGTACTGCATGTTAAAGGAATACCGTGACATTTGGATTTGTGGTTCCTAGTTTTGGATATAAAACATACAATGCCTCTTTGTTATCAGAAGCTTTAAATGAAAATTAAGAAAAGAAAGAGAAACCGTTTTTTCTCCAATGTGGCGAGCATACGGTGAAGAAAACACACTTAACTTTGTTGTTTTTCATGATTATCGCAAATCATTTTGATGCCAAATAACAAGAGAAGTCAACAGTGACCGAAGAAGCATTTTAGAGACAAACGTCCAATCATGAAATAAAAATCATAGAATTCTGTTGCATGGACAACCAACAGTATACAAAAGTCTGATTTGCAGAAACTTAATAATACATTTACTTTAAAGTCATTTCAACTTTTTTTGTTCCCAACTGCAACAACGAAGCATTCTGACTTTGTTCCAGCTGCCGGTTGGAGTAACCATGGTAACCTTTGCCAACCTCATGTGACCAAACTAGTCTGAAGTCATCTTAAGATATATAAGAGGCCTAGCAAAGAAAGAAGCTGTCTGCTATGAACACTGTCGTCACTGCCTCATTGCATTGTGGTAGATTTATGCCGGCGTAATGCCCAGGCTTTGCATATTGTAATATTCGACCAGAGAGAGTATGCAATTTGCATACTATTAGATTCAATCTAAGGTTTCAGACATACTAAAAACATCTCACACACTCTTTTAGAGTACTAAATACCATGTTCGTATGGAATTTGGAATGCAACCAAAGATTTTCAAATTCTTCATACAGCAGCTTTAAATACTTCAAACGATGAATTCAAGGGTTCAGATTTGTTTCCCCAAAAAGTGGAGGGAATTGGTAAATGTCACTGCACTCCTTTAAGATGAGTCGGAGGCTGGACAAATATATCAGTGTGCCTTCAAATAAAGGCATTGCATAACTGCTTGTCATTTTGATTCAAAAAACTTTGGCAGTGATGTTGAGCAGTGTCGGTTCAAACATACTGTCTATATTGGCCCAGCCCTTTGTGAGGCCTTGCAGTATTTAGAGTGGGTGAGTGAGACTCACTGCAGTCCCGAGGACGAAGTCGGACAAAGGGGGAGATGGAGGAGAGGGTGGGGGATACAGAGGTGGAAGTGAGGGTGGCCATGGTGGAGGCCTGTGAACTGGACACAACAGAGCGGGCTGGTACATAGCAGGCCTGTAGGTCAATACTAGGACCGGTGGGCTCATCTGCAAGTCATCATCACAGGTGGGCAACAAGCGATGAGAAATGATTAAACATGCTGACAGGACAAGACAAGAGGTTCCTCAGGTGGAGATTAGATAGTTAGAACATCTCGTGGAGGCAGGCCTGCTCTGGAGGCAGAAATAACGGAGAACCACAAGTTTTTCATCTGCTACCTGACAAACCTTAATGGCAGTACATTTTACTGTACAATAAAGTAATTGGCAATTATACGATGATGGCACATTAAATGTCACTACATTTTCCAAGAATCTCTCATCAGTTGAAAGACATTTTCTGAAAGAGGCACTTTGTATTTTTGTTTGCTTGTTTGAGGAAAGGACATGCACTTATTACTTCTGGTCTTCTCTCGAAAACCGATGTTGAATACACTTATTGTAAGTCGCTTTGGATAAAAGCGTCTGCTAAATGACTGTAATGTAATGTATTTATGTCATTCAGAAGATTCTGTCTTGTTTTCCTTAACTTAAATCTAGGCCGTGGGTTCATTGTGCTAGGACTAATTGTATTTATGGGAAAAATAGTTATTTGTTTTCCATACAAGTTCAATGTGTCTGTATGTTTGAAGTATCCTACTTTAAAAACTAACAATGTTGTCGAAATGATGTGGAAATGCACGTTGGTTTAAATTGATACACGTAGTGGTATTCTATTGGACGCAATCTACACATTATGTGGTTCTGACCTTCGCTGGGTGGAAATGTTAGTGATTGGACCTCTTTCAATTTGAAGTGAATACTCGTGGTATAGACTATAATTACCAGAAGCCTTGTGTGAATGTCCGTTTACATCTCTTATTGTACTTGTACTGACAGCTACACTATCTCCCATTTGGTGTCAATGGTCAATTTCAGAGATGAAAAATGAGCTAGCTATAGCGTTACATAGTTTTTTATATTATCTTGACTGACTTGTTAGCAAACAAAAAAAATGTTATGCAATTTTAAATATAGCTAATGAAGGCGAAGATTTCGGTTTGTCTGGTGTGACCACGAGGCCAGCAGATTGGGTAGCCATCTTGGAAATATACATTCATCTAGCTAATAATAAATTCAATTCATACAGCTAATAATGAGAGGTTTTCCTGTGAGACTGGCACAAAGAGAGGAGTCATAAAGTCAGTGAACTGACCCACTAATGTCAGTTACAGTACACAGCAGTCTTTGCTCACATTAGCCATCTGACCTGCTGACTGAACCTGTAGGACTATTTCTGACTCCAGAGCAGCTCTGTTTCTAAGAAATGTTTCCAGAACTTTTACAGTAGACAAACATTGGACATGTAAACATTCAAAAACACACTAGAACATTCATCAACACAAATTGAAACATACAGAAATGCACTGACTGTACACGTATTATTATTGACATGTCTGACACAGACAGAAATGTGGGAAAGGATAGAATCACACAAAGAGAAAACGAGCACGACTAAAGCCTCACATACTACATTAAGAGTAATATTTTAGATCTGTAGCAACAGATATATGTATATACTGTATATCTGTATATTAACTGTTCCAAACATAAAGGTGTGCCTGTTTTTATTTAGTTTTTGATAATACTAAGTTAGTGTTATCTTATCTCCAGAAACACAGTTGTAATTGAGCACCACTTGTAACATAATGATGTAAATGAATGTAAAATGAAACTGCATTATCAAGACATTTTTTAGGTTGATTATATCCTGACAGCAGCAGCTGTTGCTAGAAAGGAAAGGTCACTAACCTATGAAGGGAATAGAGGCCAAGGAGTTGAATGCATGCTGTGCAAGGCTACCATTAGCCCTGCGGTTGGTACTGGGTCCCCCGGAGACAGGAGAGGGGGTCCCTTGTGTAGGTTCCAAACCGGGGGGCTCGGGTGACTCCACGGGTGCGGTGTAGTGGGGATGTTGAACGGCCTGAACAGGGGTTCGGCGGCCGGAAGGCGGCTTCTGCCTCAGGACCACCTCTTGATTCAGGGAGATGGGGGAGACGAGCTCCCTGTCCTCACCCAGTCGGGCTCTCTCCTCCTCTGGCGCAGACAGAGCCGGGGTAGACCGGGGCCTGGGTACCACGCCCCCCTCGCTGTCCATGGGGCCGCTTCTGCTGCCGGGGCTCCAGTTGAGGTGGGGGCCGCTGTAGCTGGGCTCTCTGAAGGAGTGGGCCTGCTGGAGGAGGTGGCCAGCTTTGCGGGAGAAAGACGGGCTGTAGCTTTTGTAGCCCACCAGCTCTTCTTCTTTTACTCGCCGTGTTTGGGGTTCGGCTACCTGCTGGCCTGACCGCCTGCCACTAGGAGGCACTGTGGAGGAGGCTGTGATGGGGGACATCACTGTGGTTTTGTGCTGATGCCCTGCCGTAACCTTCTGATCTTTCTGCTCTCTGAATTTCGCCGCTTGTGACCCGTGCGAAGAGTGTTCGCAATGCGGTGACACCAGTGCAGAAGCTTGTGCCAGTGTTTCCACAGAACGCCCGTAGTTATGCTCGTACTCGGCGTAGGCTGCCAGGAGGCTCTCTGAGCATGATCTGCTTCCTGGTCCTGATACACCACCCCAGCCCCCTAACCAATAGGAATCATGGGAAGCAGCAGCCGCCTGGTGGTGGAACTGGAGGGTTTCCCTTCTGCGTTTCTCCGCGGAGGTTGTGGAGGCAGATGCGGGACCGGGGCCGAGGGCCAACCCCAGCCCCAGCTCCGCTAAACAATCCTGAGATATGCTGCGGTGGCGGGGGGACATGCTCTCTGCAGCCTCGGCCTGGCTGTAGTACCAGTCCGACAGAGCCTGGTGGCAGAGAGTATCGGCATGGGTGCGGGCAGAGGCCTGCAGGCTGCTCTTCTGCGGTGGAGGCAGAGTAGCAGAGGCGATGGCTGCATTGTGGTTAGCAAAGTGAAAGTCCAGCACGTTGATGGCCAAAGAGGAGCGGCCCCGGTGCCGGCCCGACAGGGCGAAGTGGCCGCCGGAATCCTCAGGATCCCCTGGCCAGCCGAGGACGGGAGTGGCAGCGGCGGGGGGGCGGTTGTCCAGTGGGGAGGCGGCGGGGCCCGGTCGGCACTGCCAGTTGTCCGGGGGACTGTGGGGGTTGTGCTGTGGGGCGGAGGAGCTGGGCTTGGCGGAAGGGTAGCAGAGAGGCGGCGGCGCAGGGAGGTTCTGGGCCACGCCTGAATATGGCTCATTGCCTTTCAGGTAGGCATCCTGGGAGTACGCCTGAGGACGAGAGGGGTCGGGACACGATGAAAAACATGACAGGAAAGATAAAAGATGGAGGGAACGGCTAGAGGACAGAGTGAGGCCGATGCAACGTGCATATTTCTATGTTTTGTCCTATTACATTTTTGTCTATTTCAATAGACAATAACATTGTTTGACAATGTTTTTCATTTCATGGCCCTGATTCACTGCAGCTGTTCAGGCATTCTTTTATACCCACAAACTCATTTAGTTGTCTGCCGATCGACAGCGGTAAATTTCTGAAGTTAAACTTTAATAGGTAGCTCCATGAATTATAATAAAAGCATGTCATGCAAACAGCCCAGCTTACTTGCTTTGACATATAACACGGCAACAAGGTGAAAAGCAGGAGAGAAGAGAAAATAGAAGAAAGACAATACTCACACTTACCAACTGCAACACATCCTCATCTTTTGGCATAATAGAGAGCTCCAGAATGTTTTCACTGCAACGCAAAGACCAAAATATAATATATGAATAAGTAACGGGTCAGACGGAACGTAAAACAAGATTTGTCAACACCAGTGTCTCACCTGTTTTGGATGAGCGTGATCACTTGAGAGTAGGTTTTACCCAGAATGCTCTCCCCGTTCACCTTCACCAGCCTGTCCCCTGGAGGGAGAAAAAAGAATCTCCTGTTCACACCGACGTATTACAAATGAACCAAGAGTAAATAGGAAGTTAAACAGACTTGTTTTATATATATATATATATATATATATA